ACCTGCAGTCTTCTACTTTTGTTTATGGTCCTACTCGACAATCTTCTGAAGTTGCCAAACTCACCAAGAAACAGCTAAACCATATGAATTTCCTCTGTGTTTTAGATTGATTACAGGACCTTATAGTGGAGTGACTTCTAATAATTATGAGAAAAGGGAAGTATCTAGCTGAGAATACAAGTGAAAATGATTCTTACTGTTGTAATTAACCTAATAGCTTATCTTGTGTGTTAACTTTATTCTTTTGACTCATTCACTTTAAGCCAAAATTCTGTCTTTAAAAAAATGAATTGGATATATTATTCTGTTGTCTTATCAATTACTTTGGCATTGTTAATTGTAGATAGTTTTCTATCTCAATTTAGTAGTCTGGTCCTCTATTTGCCAAATCCAGCACCAAGCAACTTGGAATCTTAATCTAATCTTCTATTCCCCAAAGTCAATTTTGTGTCTGGTACATATAGTGCTTCTCTAGTTTCAATTTGCATCATAAATTAATTAATGAATTTTAAAGATACTGATTGCTAAGAGCCAGAGACAGTACAGTGGGCAAGCCTCAAGCCTTGCAGTGCAGCAGGTTCAGGTTCAATTGCTGACCATATATGGTCACCTGATCCCCTCCAGGAGCGATCGCTCAGTACAGAATAAGCCCTACACACCCCTGAGTATTTTCCAGCACCACCTCACAGTCCCCAAAATACCAGGGCTGAAGTCCCTCTCCAGAATCTCTAATTCCTTTTGGTCTATGCTAATGCCTCAAGATGTGCATTTCTCACTTGTTTCTGAGTAGGGAATTATATTTTGATCACCACTGTGGTCTAAAAAAATATCTAAAACTAAGAAGTATAATGTGAAATTCTTTCATTTCTATAAAATTCCCTCATGTATTAAAACTACCTTTCTTCACAACACTTAATTTCTTTTTTTTTAAGTTTTATTAGTGAAACACCATGAGGTACAGTTGCAGATTTACACATTTTTTGTGCTTGGGTTTCAGTTATACAATGATCGAGTACCCATCCCTCCACCAGTGCCCATTCTCTACAACCACTAATCCCAGTATCCCTCCCACCCCCCATCCCCCATCTCACCCTACCTCTGCGGCAGGGCACTCCCTTTTGTTCTCTCTCTCCTTTTGGGTGCTGCGGTTTGCAAAAGAGGAATTGAGTGGCAGTCGTGTTCAGTCTATAATTTACTTTCAGCATGCATTTACCATCCTGCGTGGATCTTCCCAACACCATTTATTTGGTGCTCCCTTCTCTATCTGAGCTGCCTTTACCCCTACAGTGTGCGGCTGGCCTCCAAGCCATGGGGTAAACCTCCTGGTATTTATCTTGGCTATTCATGGGTGTTAGTCTCCTATTTTGTTACTTTATGATCCCCAGATACAACACTTATTTTTTTTTTCTTTTTGGGTCACACCCGTCAATACACAGGGATCATTCCTGGCTCTGCACTCAGTAATTATCCCTGGCGGTGCTCAGGGGACCATATGGGATGCTGGGAATTGAACCCGGGTTGGCCGTGCGCAAGGCAAACGCCCTACCCGCTGTGCTATCACTCCAGCCCCAACACTTAAATTTTTGATACCTAAATTAAATTTAAAAATATATGTCTGCAATTGCCTATAACATCTTTTGTATGCAAGTCTTTGTGATGCATATAAATCAATGCTTGTGTTTTGACCATTTGATTTATTTTGGTCTTGAGGCCATACCAAGCAGTGCTCTAAACTTACTTATATCACTGTTCTCAGGGATCATTACTTTGTCAGCACCAAAGTTTCTACCATTTTAAAACTTATAACCCATTAAATTAAATTTAAACCTGAACCGGCCTTCCTGTTTTACAATTTTTTTAGGTACAATGGTTTACAAATACTGTTAAGTTTGAATGAGTCCATCAAAACTGTCTTCTTACTACTGATGTCCAGATGATCACATCATCCTCTAGGATTTTTCTTTTTGTGTCACACCCAGTAATGCTCAGGGTTTCCTGGCTCTTCACTCAGGAATTACTCCTGGCGGTGCTTAGAGAACCATATGGATTGCTGGGAATCGAACCCAGGTTGACTGTGTGCAAATGCCCTACTGCTGTGCTATTGCTCCAGCCCCATCATACGATTTTTTATTGACAAACATATTATGATAATCTATCATACTTAGATTAGAAAATATATAAAGGAAGAAATAACAATTTTCATGTTTTCATATCTTTGAACCATATTGTGTGGAATGCAAAAAGTATATTAATCTCCTTTTCCAGGAAAGGAGAAAGAATTAAGGAAAGGATTCTTAAAGACATGGTACTTGTACTATACCTTAAAAATATTCTCTGCTGGTAGAAGAATGGAGAGAAGAAACTATTACAAATAATGCTATGTAGCTAATAAGACAAGTATTCACACATATATGTATAATATAAATTAAAATATGGAATACATACACGTTTATGGGATATATCTATGTATATTTGTGTGTATATGTATAATAAAATACCTTGAGATACTTCAAATTATTGGACCCATGAAATATCTAAGATTTGTTAGTTGTGGGATTCAGTCAAAAACTCAGACTTTTTCATTGCAAATCTTGTTGCTTTATACTGTCCCAAGTTGGAAGTTTGTGCTCAGCAGAAAATTCAAGATGGTCTTGTTTAAATTAGAATTTGCTAGCTGCACAGGTTTTTCCTGAATTGCATGATTAGCCTCACTATAAAATCTTTCAAGTGAAAGATGAAATAAGAGGTCTCCCAGGATTGTTTGCCAGAATGCTACACATCTTGAGATTTAAGTACTGTGTCATTTATTAATTTAACTTCCTTAACATTTTTACTTATGTATAAGAAAAAATGATGTTTTTGTGACTTAAACTTATTATCATTTGAGCTCTTCTTTGCATATTTCTACCAGTAACCTGGTATTCAATTAATATTTGATTTTTTTATAATTCTATTGGAAAAATTTAAACTATTTTCCCATGTAAACACATTACCTTACTAAAAAAATGATTATTAAATATTACAATTAAATTATGTCATTTTACCATACAAACATATGCTATTTTTAAGTTATTTTCTTTTAACACTCTATACTTTTTATAGAGTAATATAATAACTATGAGCCATAGACTTATTAAAAAATTGTGGGAGGGGTAGTGGATCTGTATCACATCTGGCTTTGCTCAGGGCTGTGCTTCTAGTTCTGTACTCATGGAATTTCTCCTAGTGATGCTTGAGGAAAAAAATCTGAAATATGCAAAGGCAAGGGCCTCAAAACCCTATACTAGTTTTACGCTGCATAGACTTCTTTTTAGCAGAGTAAAAAATGAAATTAAAACACTATTAAAAAAGTATTTTAAGTATTTTAGAAGAGATACGTTTAAATTATAATTTTATGCAATATTAATGAAAACAATCAAGCACCCCTACTCTCAAGTTTAATAATCAAGCTTTGTGGAAATAATCTAAAGATTCAAAACAAATTCACTGTTACTCTTGCGCACAGAAGATAAGACTAGACTGTGGAAGCAAATTAATCACTCGAATAATTTACTTAGAACTGAAACTGTGCCTTTATCCTGGAGAGGCTTACTGCCCTTATCTTGTAGTCTTACCATAAAGAATACCTGAGTTCTGGTACAGGACAAAAAAGGGACTGGGAGGTTTCTTGAACTTAAAACAAAACAAAACAAAATACACCTTGCAACACTTGAGCCACAATTTGAGTGAAATGCAATTTATGGTTTCATTCTACCTATAAATAAAGGAATGCAGAAACAGAAAATGATGTACTCAAAAGACTCCCACAGATTACATGTTAAGTTGACAATGACATAAAATTGATAGTCTTCTCAAGTACACCCCTCTTTTTATCTTTTACTTGAATCCTTCTTTACCACACAGTTGTCTTTTCTATTAATTGATATCTTTGTTTTGCTTTGTTTGGGGGTCACACCCAGTTGTGCTCAAGGCTTACTTGAGCTAAGAGATCACACCTGGTGGGGTTGGAAGACCATGTGTGGTGCTAGGGGTTGACCCCAAGTGGACCACAAACAAGGCAGGCCCCTTATCTTTGTACTAATGCTCCACTTCTGCTAGGTACCAGAAAGCCAGACCTAGAGCCAGACTGCATCCATGACAGCCCATAGCTAACATTAGGTTTTGACTAGCCCTAAGTTTCTGTTTCACGGAAACAGAACTTGCAATTTCTCATAAACTACAGGTTGAGTAACTTGCCTAAAGAAACTGCTAGATCATCAGACTGGACATGAGGGGTCACTATGTTCGTTTTTTTTTTTTTAAACATCCAGAACCTAACTATTATCAAATGTTGACTAATCGCTGACAACTGTTGCTTGATCACTGTTATCATAGTGCTTGCTCAATCTTGGAACCTACATATACCGCTTGCACTTGGAGGTCGGAGTTACTATCAAGAGACCACTTTGTGGGTGAGATAGTTGATCCCTTGTTAACTGGCATAAAACTCCTTTGCACTTGCATTACTCTCTGTCCGTTAACGCCATGACCCGAAAACCTGGCTACAGCCCTTCCAAACCTAGCTTCACTGAAGAGTTGTCAGCAGTATCAAGGGGGAAAGAGACAGACAGAGGGAGAGAAAGAGAGAGGGAGACAGAGAGAGAAAGAAGAGAGAGAGGAGAGACAGAGACAGAGAGAAGAGGATAGAAAGAGAAAGGACTGAAAATAGGAGGAAAATGAAAAGAAAAAGTAGCAATACAAAAATTAAAATGCTCGTTGCCTTTCTTTTCTGAATACCCACTATGACTGTCCAGCAAAGCAAATTCATATCACTGGTTTGATTCTAGTTTTGCACGAACATTTTACCTAGTATTTAATGGCTTTAAATTTTTGGTGGGGAGACTCTCTTTCACCTCAGGAGTAAATCAATCTTTTTGTAACGCCTTCTTTAAATTGTCCTGATTCTGAAGTTTTCTCTGAATTTTAGAGTTGACAAGAAACTATATTTTTACTTTCTTTAAAATATATACGTAACATTCATAAATTTGCATGTCATCCTTGCAAGGGGTCATGCTACTCTTCTGTGTATGGTTCCAATTTTAGTTTATGTGCTGCCAAAAGGCACACTGAACTTTATACTCTTGATTATTTGAATATTTTGTCACTGCTTCAATTGTTCTTAACATTATCATCAGCTCTCTTCATAACTGAATTGTGTAGTTCATGATGTCATGCAACTACTAACTTAAGATTATTTTAAATGACAAGCAAAATACTTGTTGCATAGATGCTTATGAAACTTTAAATGAAATGATTCATAGTTTCACAAAAATCATTATTGATATATCAACACATTTTTTGCATGTAACAGAATTTCAAAGATCATTTTTAGACTTATTTTACTTTTAATTTCTTTAAGATTTAAATATTGTCCATTGTAGAGGATATATATAGTCCAACACTTAAATATTTTATAATAGTAATTTTGTTTTACAAATTGTATTTTCTCATAATAAATCACATGTACCTATACCAATCACTTTTGATTTTTGAATAATATTATTTTCAAAGGAAATATAAAACATGAATTTTTTATATAGTATAACAAAATGAATATAAAAGCTAAAATTCAAATTCTGGAAATATCACTATTTTATACACTGATCAGATGTGAATGGGAAGTAGGAGAAGAAATTCTGTGAATTTCAGTTGACCTTGTTTCAATAATAGTACAAGATGCCAGCACAAATAAATTTTAATATGGGTTGTGAGAAACATGTAGAAAACTAGCAGAATATCTATCTACATATAAATGCATTCTACATATCACTTGATCACTTGATACCCCGTTATTCATCGGTTTACTAGAGCAGGTGCCAGTAACGTCTCCATTCATCCCTGTTGTGTGCTAGTGTAGCCCAATGGCATCTGCTTGTTCTAGGAACATGCAGAGCCTCAAACCAATCATTCAGGGTCTTGACGAAGATGTCTGACCATCTTGTAGGTGGGCATCCATGCAATCTTTTGATGCCCCGTGGAATCTAGTCAGTAATGGCTCTAGTTCAGCAGTCATCTCTAAACTTCATTATGTGTCCAGTCCATCTGATTTTTGATATCTTGGCAAATGAGACAGCGTCCCTGATTCTTGTGCATTGACGGAGATCAGAACTCCGGATTCTATCTCTCATTTGAGTGAAGCGTGATACTCCAAGCATAGCTCTTTCGATTCCTCTTTGAGAGACCCAAATAGCATTTTCATCCTGTTTTCGTAGGTCCAAGGTCTCTGAGGCATATGTTAATGCAGGAAGAACAGTGGAATCAAAGAGATGTGCTCCGAGCTGGCAGTTCTTTGTCATCTTAGTTATTTCTTCAATGCTCTTGAAGGCATTCCAAGCCACTCTCTTCCACCTGCGTAACTCAGGTGCCAGGTCATTCATCATGTTGATTTCTCGACCTAGGTATATAGAACTGTTGCATTCGGAGATGGTGGTTCCACTGAGAGTGAATGGAGCATCAGGAACAAGACTTTTTCTCATGAACATTGTCTTTTTGAGATTCAGTTGTAATCCAACCCTTCCACACTCATGGTCAAAGTTGGTTAGCATTTGTACCGCATGGCTGATGTTTGGCGTTATTAGAACGATGTCATCAGCAAAGAGGAGGTGGTATAGTTGCCAACCATCTAATTTCACTCACATTCCAGTCATCGCATGATGTTCTCGAGGGTGGCACTGAAGAGCTTTGGTGAAATGGTATCAGCCTGCTGAACCCCACTCTTGACATGGATGATTACTTCTTTGTAGAATGGTGAGATCCTGGTAGTGAATCCGTAATAGAACTCACGGAGGATCCTGATGTATTGAGTTTATACGCCCTGATTGGCTAGGGCTTCGATGACCGCTTCAGTCTCAACAGAATCAAAGGCCTTCTTAAAATCGATGAACGTTAGACAGAGCAGCATCTTGAACTCCTAAGAAACCTCAATGAGCTTAGTTATTGTGTGGATATGGTCGATGGTACTGAATCCTTTTCAGCCCCCTTCCACTGGCAATCCACTGCAATTTTGGATTGTCTTCTACTTCTTAAAACTCACCTTGGATCTTACAACTGCAGTATAAACCCATATTGTTAACTTTTAAAAAGGTTAGCTATGTTTACTTGAAAGGTAATTATTATGTCACCAGTTCACACATTCTTCCAGAGCTTGCTTTAATCCTTTGACTATATTAAAGGTCACCTTTTCCCAATAGTTGGGGCCTTCCCTCAGCAGTCAATGTTCTACACTTTTATTATAAGTAGAGATATATCTAAGTGATGATCCCGAGTTCAGAAGCTAATGGATGGATCAGAATATAAGTGGTGTCAAAAACATTTTTCCAGGGGTAACAAGAGCTTGTCTTTTGTTTTTGTGACCAGTTTTATCATTCAGTTGGCAGTCTTCACACTGATTCAAGTCAAGACTGTGGTCTGTATCTTTCTTCAACAATAAGAACAACACATTTGTATGAGTTCTAAATGCCACAAAATAATTAAAATATATTTACAGGATTTACTCCAGCAATTTTAATTTAGTCACCTGGCAAGAAAAGTTAATGTATTAGGGAAAGTTTAATTTTGAATTCGGGAATAAAATTTATGGGGATTTTAGATTTTTCAAAAGCAGGTTGGAAGGAGTCTGTATAGTCATATGTTCATGTTTTTGTACACCTATATATTACATATGGGTTTATATACAAACATATATGTAAACACACATGTATATATGTATATACATATATATACACACATCTAGATATACAGGCTTATGCAGATCATGTTCCTTTCACATTACCATGTCAGTAGGGATTGAATATGTCTAACCTTTTCAGTCTACCATAATTTTTGAAATAGCGTTATGGGTCAGTTACTGTTAAGATTCTCACTTTTCTCACAATGAATTTATAGATCAGAGACTAGTTATCTTCCCAAACTTTGTAATAAGCATATAGTGCTATCAGGAGCAAGGCTGAGTCCTCTATTCAACTGATCATTCCATCACAGCAGAAAATGTTCCTGAAATCACTTGTAAAATAATAATTGAATTAAGTGACTAAAGAATTCCTTTGCTAACTTGACTTCTTTTTCTTAGACAACCCATAAAATAAACCTGGTAACAAGCAACTTTCCTGGTATCTGTAGACTGTGGTGGACAGTTTTGTTGCCTTAATTGTTTCATTGTCTGTTAATCAAAGTAATCTAAAGAGGATAAATCTTCCAGCAGGGCCTTGGCTTAGATCAGTGCTGCAAGTAGAGCACAAATGTGCCAGACTCTAGAAATAGACTATTGCTTTTGCTCAGCAAATTAATAATCTTCAAATATCTACTTATAATTTCCCAGACATTTCAGATCAGCATCCCCCCATTTTGTCACATTCTTTTGTCACATTTCTCATATCTTTTTCAATAAATTGATCCTAAGTTTGTCTTTTAACTGTAAGGTTAACAATGTTCTCATCTTACCCTTTAATTGTATTTGGCGATCACTGCTTCTACTGCATGATTTATTTAACTTCTATTAGACCTGAACCAGAGTTGACTCCATTGAGGTAAAACAGACTTGCTACAAAATGGACCTTGTCATTTTAATCTCTCAAAGGACAGTTTTATTATCTGCTATTTCATTTTGTGGTGAGTGCCACTAAAGCTTATTTTGTGTTCCAAAGGACTTTGCTTGTCCTTCCCTTATAAGGTGAGAGCTGTGATGTTTTGGCTCTCTATTCTCTCTCTGCCCTTTTCTCATGCCAATCCTGATTTTGCATCTAAATTAAATAGGTTAACTAAGGTTGTGTTACTCAAAATATAGGCATCCAAGTTGAAAGTCTTATTATTAGGAATACAGCCATTTTCCTGCATGGTAATTTGTAATTTAGCTAATCATAAAAGTATTCCACTTTCTCACTGTGTTTTACTTTTCTTATGTATTCTTATATTTTGCTTTTATTGTATACACAAACTCATGAGAATGGGGAAATTTGTATAATCCTTTGTAGTTGAAAATCTCTTCTAATCACTTTTACAGGCAAAACTCCTGTAACAACACTTTCAGGTTGGAAAGACTATGCTGCTTCTCTTGCTTTTGAGACTATTAAATAGACTCAGTGAAATGAATTATCTAGGGTCACATAAAAGGCAGAGTGGAAATTCTGTTCTGACTTTAAATCCTTTTTTCTTGCACTGTCAACATATCAGCAAATTATACTGCTTCAAACGTTTTCTGAGATCTGTGTTACTATCAGAGAAATGTCTTTCACTGTCTAAATTCAAAACATTTTTTGAACACTAATCCAGTTAATGAAAACATAAGATCATTGAACCATTCTAATCCTATCTCAGATTCACTGAAGGGACACTCAAGTCTCGAGGCAGTTTCTTGTTTCTATGCTGTTGTTTCATATGCAGATATGTTATCCTTTATTGTCTTGAGGTGGTAGGCTATCTATGACAACTGTCTGTGGAATATAAGTCTTCATAATGCCATTTTATGGGCTAGCTTCCTTGGGAGATAGTTAAATGCAATTGGTGATTAGAATTATAGCATTGACTCTAAGAGTTGAATGTGAGTTTTAAGTGTTTTGGGAGCATCCCTAATTTAAAGCCAGGTTTATTGTCTTTTAAAATAGATTCTACAGTCCACTAATCTAATATATGAACTACATACCCTACAATAAAAATAAAATGAATATTCAGGGTAGTATTTAATTTTTTTAAAGTTAATTACTGCTCATTCACTCCTTTTTTATAACTCTATTATCAAACTATGTATATCAATGTTGGGGACAACTAGGAGGTCATATAATAAACTTTAGAGCATGGAGTTGGATATATATTTTTTAAAATAGATGAATTAGATCTTGGTATAATATGTTTAATGAGATAATTATTATTGCTGGTACTTTAAAAATGGAACTCAAATTTTTTCAGAGGACTCGATTTTTCCCAATAGAAAGACAAATTGAGAGTTAATAAATAATAGAAAATATACCTCATTGCAAAAGTTTATACATCATGTTTGCCTCAGTGCACAAGTAGTAAACTAAATTTGGCTCTATTTATAACAAAGAATTTAACAACATCTATTGGGAACAT